TATCCTGCCCTTAGAATAGGGCTCTTCTTTGTAACAGACCCTCAGATTTGAAAGACTGTGATATTGCCACCCCTAGCTCTTCTATTCATTAGATTAGATGTAACCGAAGGGCAAAGTTATGCTGATGCAGCATATTTGATTACAATCCTGTTGATAAAATTAAAGAATTCTTGTTTGGGAAATGCAAGTCTGGCCTGGCATATTAATCCAAGATTCTCTTAACTCAAAACAGAAAAATTAATCACTCATCAAATTGATCATCACACAGGCTTTCTTTCTTCAATAAAGAAGGAATTAGTTGCTCCTTTAAGTTGCGTATGGTTATACAATGTCTTCTAATTCTTAACTTTTAATCAGCAGTTGAGGCTGGAGTGTAATCAAGATGTTATTTAATATATTGTAGGAATAAATGCTTGCACTTAAGATGTTATTGCACAGCTTTTAGTTATTAACAATGCCTATTTATACATTTTTCCTCTCTTGATTGGTACTTGTGAAAAACACAGGCTCCCCCTCACTTACAGTGGTCAATGCCTCATTGGTTATAGTAATTGCTGAACTGAAGAGTGTGCAATATGCCTGTTTTATCCATGTTGGAACAATACATTGGAGACCAAAATTTAAGGCACCATTATGGTCTCTACCCCAGCAACAGCCAGCAGCTGCCATAACTTCACTGTATGCTGTTTGCTGAGGAAAGAGTTCTGTGTCAGCCAATTGCTGCTTACACCTATGCCTGCTAAATAGATGCCACCCTCTCATGGAAAGACATAACTAAAAACTGGTTTATATCAATCTGAAGATAACAACACATAATGTAGAATATTAGATCAGAGTAGGAAGAGAAAAGAAGGGAATCTGATTTCTTTCCTGCTTTGAAAATGTTCCAAGCAGGTAGAAGAGATAGCTGAGGTTCTCTCTCTCTCTGATTTGATATTTGCCCAGAGGCCCAGTTTACACAACTGAAGTGCTAGGTAACTGGCCTCAGAGTCAGCTGCACAATCAATGAATGTGAACTACATTCCTCACCCAGCTTATATTCACACAGCAATAACAGCTCTGTTTCCATTATCATATCAGAAATGGCAGCCTTATCTGCTGAACCTCCATTAGAAAAAGATTTCTAGCTCTTTTGTTCCTAGGATAATTTGTTGAGATAGCTATAATCTAATTGTACTCCACAGCTGCACAACCAGAAGCCTTTTTACCTTGGGGGCTCCTTCTTATTTGGCACGGAATAGGGATTATTTGAGTGATAATTCAGGTTTCCCATCCAAGACAAGACAGTAAAAGGAGGACAGGCGATGTTCAGCCAGTTCCTAAGCAGCAATTATAATTTCCTATCACATAGGCAATTAATATGGTCCAGTAAATGATAAAGTACACCAGACGAAGGCATATCACAAGGGCCATTATCGGTGACACATTCAAGAGAGTCATTAACAGAACAAAAGTAAATGTGAAGGAGCAACACTTCCAGCGTTTCATAAAATATATTGCAAATTAAAACCATAAGACAAACCAAGGCATATCTCTGAAATATAGTTTTGTTAAACCTTGATTAGCTTAAATAATGCATGACTGACTAATTCCAGTCTAAAAACAACACTGGAAATTTTTAGGAGGCTTTTAAAAACAAAATTACTTTAATATACTGTATACAGTAGAAGATAAAAAAAATTAAAAAGGAAGAAGAAAGGAAATAAGAAAGAATATGTTTGTGTATGTGTATTTAATTAAGATATTCAGGTTTGATCATACCAAATAATACTGATCAGTCTTTCCATGATGTCCAGAAAGACCCACTTCATAAGCAGAGAAGGAACATATGTGATCAGATTGCTATTGCATTAGTGTCTTTTCCTATGCCTCACACTTAATAAATCCATGAATATAGTTCTACATATATTCATAAGTTTCTGATAGTTGTTATATAATTCCCAGTTAGATTTACAGTTTAAAATTGTATTCTCTTCTTAAAGCCACATTAGCAAATTAATGGACATTAAATCAAAAAGAAAAATATTGAATCAAGGCTGTATCATGTGGATAGTTGTTCCCTTGATCATTCTACAGCAGCATAATATGTAACTGTTATTAAACATTGTGAGGTGTCCAGTAAGCATGAACAAAATTAAAATGATCTTAACCTCATGAGAAAACAATATACTTCAAGATGCTTAACCATTGATTTGCTAACATGGGTTATTCCAACTCTTTAAGCCAGGGTTCTTGCAAGTAATTGCTCTATGACTTAGCAATGTTCTTTAATTGCATATTAAAAATACTTCCAGTCTAGAATAACCCCGCACATATTTCAATCCTGATAGCAATTCAAGAATTTTATATGCTTCTAATGGATGGTTTAGTTTACAATAGCCACAATTTTCTTACTTCGTGCTCCTGTGTTATCAAGTTAAAGATGAAAGGAATTTTTCATGTAAAACTTTTCAAGATTCCATAGTTCTCGCTACTGTTTTCTTAACATCTTTTATTAGGCTCATTTTCTTTCTTGTCTTTTTCCTCAAAATTTATGACTGGAGGTTATATAAAATGTTCCCTTTTTTACAGATTAATCTGAACAGTTCCATGGAGGTCATAAGCAGGGAGTCAATTATGGTGGCTTACAGTGAACCTGTCCATCCTATTATGCAGTTTGATCCATCTGATTCCAGTTACTTGTATTTAATGACTTCTCATCAGGTAAGTTTATTTCCCAAACCTACCTTTCTATGTAGTTTCAATTTAATCAGTTAGGGGGTTTCTCTTTGTACACCAAACTTTTCACAGCTGCACAGATGATATAGTGGGACAGTATTTCTTATAACATATTATAAATACTTTCAAAATAATTGTTGGTTTTATTGGCTCGTCTTGAAACTTATATTTTTGCATATTTTTGTAACGTATTGTCATTGTTACCAAATTATTGCTCCATCATTCCTCATCACTGATCATACTTTGTACAGATGGTTAAGGACTGTGGGATGCCACATTTTTCTTGCTTGGGTAGGTCATGGAAATGCAGAGATAATTACTGGGCATATTTTGTAAGTTTGTCAGCCTAGCTTTTGAGATCTTATTGGCATGGTGAGACACGATTTTTATCAAATAAGCCATAATTAGAGGATTCATGTTTCATAGCAAGTCTAAAAAGAAAGAAATCATTATTTAGGAGTCCCTGTGAATCAAAGTATTGAATGTTTCTTATACGCAGATGTAATACACTTTTAATCTGCCCTTGATGGTATATTAGATGGAACAAGATGGAAAATAAAACATTATTATCAATATAGTTAAGATTGATTGTTCACTATGAGATAAAAACAATGTATTCAAAACACAGCAGAGACCAGATCTTAGAAGAGCATGTTTGTACTGTGGTTGTTGCAAATGGGAAAAGGCTGAAAGTTGGCTGATATGTTTCTCTTGTATAATTATGCTTTCCTACTGTTTGTGTTCACTTACGGTGGTAATAGATGTACTATCAGGAGACTCATAGGGCAGGTTGGGGAAAGGTTCACCTGAGAAAGTCTATGTGGTCACTAAGAGTCAGTACAAATTTAAGGGTACATTACACTGGACAACAACAACAAAAATTCAAAGGTTTTTCTTTCTTGAAGGAAGATTATGACAGACCCTTTTAAACTAAATGCAAATATAATTTCAGAATGATTTATCATGTAGGATCCTTGGGAAATAGAAATTAACTCTTAGTTATTATAATGTATTTAATCACATAATGTTTCCAACATGCTGCATGAGTTCAACAGGACTAAAAGTGTTTTGCTGTTGATTTTTGTTAGTGCTTAGTACCAAATTCATCTTACTGCATTGTCCAACAATAGTCAGGCAGCATTGATGGACAGTTTCCCTGACACTGTTTTTCTATTGTGACAATATCTTGGTGAAAACTTTCACCATGTTTGTCACTTACTGCATTTAGATTTTTGGGAAAGAAGTCCAAGTGTGAATACAGAAAATAAATCTTCAGTGACGTGTTACACTTCATGGTATTGTATGGTCTCAGAAGTTTGTCAATCAGCTGAATGCAGTTTGGTGCTCTGTCTTCTTCATCTTTATTTCGTCTTTTATCGTTTTGGGTGTCAAGGGAGATGAAAAGTTCTGGTTCTTGCTCTTTTGATGGCCTCAAACATTATTATTTGATGCTCTTGTAGTTGTCTTTGATGTTGTCTCCCCATCATCTTCTGGATCTTCCTCGTATTCTTTGTCCTTCTACTCTTTTTGTATATGCCTTGTATGGTATGGAATCCCAAGACATCCTCTCAAGATGAGCAAACCACTTTATTTGCTGCGTTTGTATGTCGTTTTAAGATTGGTTCTATGCCAATTCTTTCTCTTACAATCTCATTTCTGATTTTTTCTCTTCTGGTCACTCTAGCAGCTTTCCTCAAATATCTCGTCTCCGTGATGAGTAACTTTCATTTATGTTTTATAAGTGTCAGTGTTTGGCACTGGTAATTGTAGGTTTTATAAATGTCAGTGTTTGGCACTGGTAATACAAAGTGAGTAAGAATATGCTTTGTATGAGATGTTTCTTTGTGCTGATCATTAATGCTTTATGCTATAGGAATGGAGTTAGCAGTCCCAATACTTGGTTTGCCTTACTGCATCATATGTTAATCTCTTCGTTCATTTTACCATCTTTGATGAATGTTGTTCCTAGATATTTGAACTTTGATTGTTGTTTTATGCTTGTTTCCCCATTACTATGTTTAAGTTGGTTTCAATTATGTTTAAGTTTAAGTTGGTGCTTTATAGTTGCCAAGAACATTCTCAATAACATCCTTTAATGCTTTCTAGGCAATTTTCTTGGGCCCCGCTAACAGATCTTTGGGTCGCTTGTCATTGATGATATATCAGATCTTTGGACCAACAAAAATGCCTTCCTTAATCTTGGCATCAGCTATTCTTGGAAACATCTGTCTCAAAGAACAAAAAACTTGATCTTTCTTGTTCAGCGCTTTTACAAAATGTTTCTTCAGTCTGAGTTTTATATGAAGCAGAGGCAAAAATATCTTTGTCAGGTCAACAAGTGCTTCATGTGCCAATTATTTTGCCATGTTTTTCTGTCCTAGTACCAACTTATTTTGGAATGGCGTTTCTTTTTAATGTAATGCAACTTCCTTGCACAGCTGTCCTATTTGCATATGTAACAACAATACTTGGCATATCCAAGCAGCAGAGCCACTACTTTTAGTTCTGACAAATATTCCAGTTGCACTTGGTGCGTCAGCAACAGTTCCATGTTTTTGTATCTTTCTTTCATATATGCAGCATAGGCAACAGGTACTGAAACATTAAACATTGCCATTGTTTAAATACAAAAGATGTCAACAAAATGGTATGTGACGGATTAAATTACTTGATTAAATTACCAGATTATTCTCAAGATTAGCTGCCCAAAATAGATAGAATACAACCAAGTGTCCAGGAAGCAAAAACTTCATTTTCCAGTGTTATCTATCAATTAATGGATTATTATCTTTACTGTCTAGTTGAAAATAAAATGAATGTGGTATTCCTTGCAAGCTTCAGGGTTCTAACTAATAGTTTTCTGTTTAGTAATTAATCTCTCTGCTGCAATTTCCTAATTAATGAATATTTTCAGTATACAAAACTGATAACTTGCTCCTTAATCATTTATCCCATAACCATTTTTGATCAAAACAGTTTACTGGTAGTCCTTGCTTAACAACTGTAATTGGGACCAGAAAATCCATTGTTAAGTGATGTAATTGTTAAGTGAGACATCACATGACAACTTAATTTCCATCATGATCATTAATTGCCAGCTTCTCCATTGACTTTGCTTATCAGAAGCTGACTGTAAAGTATACAATCACATGATCAGTCTTCATCATGTGGCCATTGGGATCTGACGACAGTTATAAGTGCTACACCATTTGAAAAGTTATTTCTTTCAGTGCCTCCATAACCTTAAACAGTTGCTGATAGGCAGTCAATAAGCGAGGCCTACCTAGCTGTACTTAAAAAAACAAAACAAAATAAAGATGATCTTGAATTGAGCTCCTGATAATTACATAGATGTACTATTTAGTTTTCTTGGGAGTAACTTGGGTTGCCAAACTTGGTTTGCCATTACCTTTTTCTGGTTTTTTTTTTCAACTAACCAATAGCTCTAAATTTGGTTTCTGATCCAAGTACTAATCAAATCCAACCTTATTTAGTTTCCAAGCCTATAAAAACTTGAGCAGGTGTTGCCATCTGCTGAGATATAATCTATTATTAGCAATAATACTTAACATGGGAACTGTCAAGGGGAGAGGAATGGGTATTCTGTTTGCAATATAATCACAATATGTTCTATGTAAACTACATAAGGCAAGATTAAAATTTAAAATTACAAGATGTAATAATTTGGTGGAAGCTGCACAACATTTGTGTCTGCACCCACAGAGCATGCCTTTTGTTGTTAGGAATGACATCTTTAAAATAAAAAAGAAGAAAATTTAATAAATAAAGTATAGGGAAAAACATCTGGTAAAACCTGCCAAGTCCTTTGTAAATATCAAACAAACATTTATTTGTGAAAGGAATCGTATTCCCTGGGTGAAGAATTTCAACTGCCCAGAGATATTGCCAACCTATGTCAGAATGATTTGTCAATCCGGTTTTGTTTATTGGCAGAAATACTTTCTGAGTGCATTCATATAAATGTATGTGGAACTGAGGCCATCAGGGAGCAGTATAATTCTGATTGGGTCAATCTTATTGCAAATACAAAAGGCTTATCTTATATTTGAATATGGTTTAGACAAATAACTGAAGTGACTGATCCAAATGGCAGACTATGGCAGCATTGTATTAAATTCTTCTCAGATCTAACATTTATAAAATAAAGGCATCAAGAGGGTAAATAGTGTTTGAGGTCTATAAAAATCCAAATTTATCCTTAGCAAGAAACATCCATGGGTGTTTTCAAGCCAATTTCCATCTCCACTTTCACTTACCAGAATATGTGCAATGGGTTTTTGTAAAACTAAAAATGCTGTTCTCAAGTATTGGAAGAAATATGCACCAAATATATTACCCATAAAAGAATACACTAGCTTTTCACAAATCCCTAGAAGCAAATTACAGGTACTGGTATTAATCATTTTCTCTTCTTAAACATTTTATAGTATTTTGCATTTTTAGGCAAATTATAGTTATTTATATACCTTTTATTAATCAAATCTTCCTTTTTTAACACTTACTGTGATTCATGCAGCAGAACATAGTTCCACCTGAATAATGAAGCTATATTATTAAAGTGTGTATGCATGCATGTCACTGTTTCTCTCCCCCCCCCCCCCCAATCCCCATCCTGTGTGTAGGGTATGAAAAACAATTTCTTTATTTAAAAAGCAAACTGTCATGGAAAGAAAAAAAGCAAAAGACAGCAATTTTAAAGAACTTATTAAAAGAAATATAGAATTTCTTTATCAAGTCGTTTTGTTTAATTTTTTTCCCCAACTAGGATGTTAACATTCTTTTGAAATATACATTTTCCCCTTTCTTCCTATCTGGGATAGTCAGAAAATATGGATAATAAAATTTATTTTTGTTAGTTTAAAATAGTTAAAATAACAAAAATAAAAATCATGTTAAATTGTTATACCTATTTCCATCTTAGACATGCATGCAAATACTTCAGTCAATGAATTTTTGTTGCAACTATTTGCTAATCCATCCCGTCCTCCATATTTTTTAGGCAGCATTAACTATATAGCAGCAAATCTAAGTTCCTTCTGTAAATAAACTAGATATGAATATAAAAAGCGCATGTGTGCATGATTTTAAAACTAGGCAAAAAAAAAAAAAACCAACCTATAGGGGAGAGAGAAGTGGCCTGGCCCTAAATCTTTTAAGATTAAAAGAGCAAAAAGACATTCTCTATGACTATTTATCAAATAAAAATATATAAATAAAACATTCAACCCATTATCCGTGGACTAACTAAATTAACTCTGCTGGGGTTCATTTATATGTATGTCTGCTGTATATAATTCAAAGAATATTATGTAAAGCAAAAAATGACAGACTTCTATTATAAGCTCTATAAAGCTGCTCTTTTTGGAGGGAAAAACTCTATTTATAACAATTTCATGATCACTAAATCTGGTAGATGAGCCTTCTACTAGCCAGCATTTCAATTTTCTAAATTTAAGGTTTGAGATCAACTAGCATCTCATCTGTATTGGATCAAAAAGGACAAGTAATCCTGGGTACTATCATATTCTGATGATAGTTGTTTGTAATCTTTTGCTCATCCTGGATAAGTATAAAGTGCTCTGTTGCTGAAGTTAATTAAACAAGAGTCTGCTATTTGATTATTTAAAATTGTTATCTTGATTTTTTTTCTGTTACACAGATTGCTCGTGTGAAAGTAGCTGCTTGTGACCAATACACTAAGTGTACAGACTGCTTGGCTGCAGCTGATGCTTACTGTGGATGGTGTACTTTGGAGACCAGGTGGAATATTTTTTGCACTTTATAACCCTCTGACAATAAGGCATTCTGAACAGATAATGATTACTTAATATTATTGTAAACTTTCACCAGATTCACTGACTTGTACAATAATAAATAGCTGATGCAGACTTTACACTTATGTGAATATAAATACAATCAAGACATTGTTGGATAAATAGCATTTGAACAATTTTCAGGTTTTTATGAGACTTCACACATAAGCTCAATTACTTTGTGGGGGAAATCAATCAACAGACTTGTGTATTATATTGTGCATGAGATAGTCTAAGGCAGCATTGATTTTGAAGATAATAAAAACTCATGCAATCCGTAGTTATATTTTAGTATAAAATTATCTATCGTATGTATTATTTCTTTTTTCACTTCAAATGTGATAGGATAAGTCAAAATATTATTTTAAAAATTCTATTTCACACTAAGATGCTCTTAGCATAAGTAAAGTTATGGATAGCATGCATATTTTGGACTAGTTAAAAGTCTTTAAGAAAGTATTTTAAGAAAACAAGACAGAGCCACAACAATCAATTTATGTTTTTGAAGAATATTTTAAGAGAGTCTAGGGCAGGGATGAAATTCAGCAGGTTCTGACAGGTTCTGGAGAACCAGTAGCAGCAATTTTGAGTAGTTCGGAGAACTGGCCCCAGGAGTGAGGAGGAAATGGAGATTTTGCAGTATCTTTCCCCTGGAGTGTGGTAGGAATGAGATTTTGCAATATCCTTTCCCTGCCACGCCCAAAGATCCGGTAGTAAAAAAAATGAATTTCACTACTGGTCTAGGGTAAACAGAAATAAGACATATGAGATTGGGGGAAAACATTGAATAACTGCCTGATGTTCTGTTAAGTCACCAAAGTTCAAAAGTGGCCATCTTATTTCCATGGATTTAACAGCCTTTTTTTTTTCTGTATCTTTGTTGGAAAGCACCCAGTCAGGCAGGGTGTAAGGCTCAAGGGCGAAGCTAACCTGGAGTCACTGCACAACCACAAAAAACTGACCTCCCTAAATTCCTTGGAGGATTATCTATTTTTTCCCAAGGGAAGGCTGCCAGTCTGGGCAGTCTCTTGATAGGCAGACGAAGAAGGCAGTTAGCTTGAACTCTGCATGTGTGGGCCTGGTTGTTCATGCCTGACAACCTTAGATGTAAAAAAAAAAATCAAGATAAACAGAAGGCAAACAATAGAAAAAATATATGAATCATTCCTAATAATTTCTCCTGTGTTTTGATTATGAGGTTAACATTTTTAAGATAATGGCTATCGTTCTTAGTGAAATGACAAACATGAAGATAGTTTTTCAGGAAAATTAATAATTGGTTTTCTTCTAAAGGTCTGGTGTCATAAATGTTCTACTTGTTTTAGGTGTTCACTGCAGCATGAATGCGCCCATTCGGAAGAGTCCTATTTCTGGATCAGTGCCAATGAGGGAGTACAACAATGCCCTTCAATGACCACAATGCCTTCAGAAATAAATATCGAGAACGAAAATGAGGTACGTGAAGTAAGAATTGCAATGTCTATGAATAAATTCTCTTAAGCAAAGGGAACTGATTAAAAGCATTATGAACAATATTTAAATAATGGATCTGCCCCCCCCCCATCTCATACTCTTAGCAGTGTGCAAGGATTACAACAACAGCTATAAACAATGTCACCTAAGGTAAACAATAAATCCCAATCATAAAAAGTTACATCAGCAGCATAGTGAAACAGCCTTGTGAAAGGTTATCGGGGTCAGAGCCATCTGGATCTCTGCAGAGGATATTGTTCCACTGGGAAAGTATTGACACATAGACGGCATCTTGTAATTTTACCAACACAATCTCTGAATATTCGGCTGCACTTGCTATTTTTACTCAAGAGAGCAGCAGCTTTATTCCAAACAAAGTTTAACCTAAAATACAGTATTTTTAAAACCTGTTTGTCAATGTAATTTATTTTTTTGTTAATCTATTAGAATGATAACATTTTGTTGTTCACTTTTAGGGTATGATAATCCAAATAAATGGGAACATTCCAAATATGAACGGAATGGAAATAGCTTGCAATTATGGAAATAATATCCAAACCACTGCTAAAATTCATCCCCAATCTCACAACCAAGTAATTTACTGCAGTTTTCTTCCCAGAGAGAGCTACCCAGCCTTTCCATTAAATCAAGGTATGTATGAAAAATGGTGCTTTAAATAATGATGATGTAATAATGACATTAAAGATGAGTTTCTTAATTTTCTTAATTAAATTAAACTTTCTTAATTTTTATTTTTATTTAGTAATGTTCCTATAGTTGAGACACATTTCATTGTATCAGTGGTGGATTTCTGAAAGCTTGCTCAACTTATGACTGCAACTGAGCCCAAAATTTACATTGCTAAGCAAGTCAGTTGTTAAGTGAGTTTCCCCCATTGTATGACCTTTTTGGTTACAGTTCTTGAGTGAACCACTGCAGTTGTTAAGTTAGTAAGATGGTTGTTAAGTGAATCTGGCTTTCCCATTGGCTTTGCTTTTCCAAAGGTTGCAAAAAGTGATACTGCAACTGTCCTAAATACATGCAAGTTGCCAAGCAGATGCATTTTGATCATGTGACCATGCAACAGTCGTAAGTGTGAAAAACAGTCATAAGTCTCTTTTTTAATGCCTCTGTAACTTTGAGCAGTCCCTAAACCAATGATTGTAAGTTGAAGACTATCGGTACCAAAGAGCGTTAAGACATACTGTAGCTAGTTAAAGTTTCTTTCTGATGGTCTCTTCCTTAAATCATGTTTTGCTGTCCCCATAGACCTTCTCCAAGGCCACATTCCTGATTCACTATAGTGTCTCAATTTGATGTGAAACAGATATTTTCTAGGTGGGGCGTGTTGAGTCATGTAAAAAACCCTTATCTACAGTATTGAACAGTTGTCCTGTGGCTATCTCATTCATTAATGCTACTTGCATATACAGTTTTTCAGCCCGAAAGTTAAATTACCGGTTTTAAATCACCGTTTGATTATTTGTTTCACTTTGTTTAGTGAAAGTAATTTGTCATGGCCATGCAATACTGAATACATCTATTTATAAAGTTTGGATCCGTTTATCTTGGTTACAGTTCAAGAGTCTTGCCAAAACAAATACTTTATATGAAAATCCTGACTCTTCAAACTACTGAATTTAAGTTAAATAAAGGGGCATGAAAAATTGCTTCAAAATAAAGGATGAATGATTATATCAACTCCGTTTGGTTCGTTTTCAAAATTCTTCGAATCTCAATTTTATCCCATCCAATTTTATACAAAAAAAGGATGTTTCCAATGCATTTTAGGTACCAGTTCCATTCCAAAATTTAAAAATGTAAATATATTTTTCTGTATGTTCTGATTCACATATCAGTTCCTCAACATTTAAAACAAACATATTTTAAAAAATTGCTAATAAAAATAAATCCTCACAGAGATTATTTACATACATAATACATAAAGCATTCACAAAATATGTATTGCCAGCTTTTCCTGTTTCATATATTAATTTGTATTTGTAATGTAACAAAATAATCTTGGGAGTATTTGGAGAAGCTGAACTCTTGAGAAACTTCATCTCTTGAGTAAACAACAGTTTTGAATTTTTTTTTCTTTTTTCAGACATTCATGTTGTCTTGAAAGTAAACTATGAAAAGAGTTCCCTTGTGACTTGCTTGTTTTGGGGTTGTTTGTTTCAGATCATGTAATTATTCAAACTGCAGTCCAGGTCAACGGAAAAAACATTGTGTGGGCCAATTTCACCATCTATGATTGCAAGAGAACTGGAAATATTTATCCAAAGACAGCGTAAGTGATCTCGTGGCCTGTAAATGATAGAAAGGCAGGTTGCTTTGCTTTGGTTTGCATCAGAATTCACCAGTCAGGAATTCCTTTATCTTTGTTGGTGGTTTCAGTTTAAGCAGGAGGAAATATTGTAAAATAGATAACTTGAAATACAACATCTTCAACATTTTAATTTTTTTAGCTAGAGGCTTTCGAACTGTGAGTTGCAATTCCTTGGGAATTGCAATATTGTTTGCTATAGCACTTTTACAAAACACTCAGTATAGCCATAAAATTCTGCTACATCCAAAATTTCAGGAAACATTTTAACTTGTCTTGATTAATTGTCATGGATTGGAGTTTTTTTATGCAGTTATTGGCGTATTGGATATTGGCGGTTCATTGCCACAGAACACAAATAATTGCATTTGCTTCTGTCATAAATATTCATATATATGGAGCATCCGTGCCAGCAAGGCATGTAACCCTGTATTTGTAGTCTTTGAAGTGTCTGAAGGAGTGCATATGCTTGTGTAGCTCAAGAGTTTTTTCCTGTAATTTTAACAAATGTTAAACCAATTACTAGTATGCTTGCTACTAAAGAGGAGAAGCAATTCTTCTGACATATCTCTGTTGACACTTCTTTGAATATAAATTTCCTGACAAAAATCTCTCCCTGAATTTTGGAGTGGGGTACAAAATTAATGCAAAGATTTAAGAGATACAGTTTGGTCTAATGGTTAAGGCACCAGTCTAGAAAATAGGAGACTGTGAGTTCTAATCCTGCCTCAGCCGCAAAAGCCAGCTGGATGACTTTGGGCCAGTCACTCTCTGTCAGCCCAACTCACCTCACAGGGTTGTTATTTTGGAGAAAATAGGAGGATATGTTTGCTGCCTTGAGTTATATGAAAAAATTATAAAGGCAGGATACAAACAAATATGAAAAGTATACAAATATATTGAAGTCTGTATTATAAATCCATAAAGAACAAATATTGATAAAAAAATAAATGTGGAATGAAAAATATGAGTAGCTGTTTCAGAAATAAAAACTAGGAATCATGTAAAAATAATCAAGTTCATCTTTCCAATTTAAAAAAAAAATGATTTTAAATGTGACAATGTCCTTTCGTTGGATCAGGTTTTTTTTAAGTTATAAAGTTTGTGAAGTTTTCAAAATATTTCATTTGATAAATAGATAAAATTATTACTAAAATCCTTTTTTTTTTTTGCCCAATGCTAATTCCAGTGAAATTTTTAGTTTTATTGTGAGGTGAAGGATGGAAGAAGTAGAAACACGTTTATTTTTTAAGTGGTCATAGTACCAAACAGTTGGAAAACCTTGTTGTAGATTTACTAAGCTAGAATCACTTTGTTATCTACAAGGTATTTTGGATGCCGGGCAGGATTGGCAGGAAAGATGATCTAACATGCCAAGAATTGCAGAGACTGGGTTTTAGAGTATTTCAGACCATCTGGATGTGTTGATGGTTTGGGGCAATTTTTTCTTTCCCTTTTCCCATGATAATATTTTTGACTGAAAGCTTTAAAATTAACCTTACATCAGAAAGCTGATATAAGGAACAAACAATTCCATTTTTGAGATCGTTCAATTTATATGTGGATATAGTAGAGTATCATGTTTGGCTTAATCTTAATTTCATTAGTTATTAATAGTGTGGCAGAAGCTATCTTTCACATGATTTTTCTTGCTATCCTTTTAAAGCAATTTATTTTGGATTGTTAGGAGTTATAGATAGTAGCAAATGCAATCTAAGGTGCATTGAAAGACAATCTCTTCAGTATAATTTTAAAAATTTTGAGGCAAGAACAAGATTTTTTCACAAAATGGCTTGCCAATCTCAAAGTATGATACCAATTATAGTAATACATTGTTCTAAACCAAGTTTAAGTATAATTTATTGAAATAACCAAAAAAATTCTCATCCCTAAGCCAAACTAGCTGTTTCCAGTAGAAATGAGAAAGGAGATGTATTTATCGTACAAGAATAGTAGCAAAAATAGTAAGGAAAATGTGGGGAAAAGACATAAAAGAATGAAAAGCAAACGACAGAGCAGAAACAGAGCTACATAATAAATAGATCTATTCTAAAAGAATAATTTACTTGCATGGGGCTAATACTAAAATTACTGAAATAATATTCTTCAGAATTAAAAAGTAGATGAAAATGGCTGGAAACATGCTATTTTTTACATATAATGTTGTTCACTGCATTTAAGTTACTCATAAATATCTGAAAAGTGCAATTCACAGTTCAAGAATCCCTATCTACAATAATTTGGTATTGAAAATATACTATTTTGGATTACATAATTTATTATTTCTCCTTCTGCTTAAATTAAACCACCACCACAACCAACAACAACAATATAGATGTGATTACAATTGCATATTTTTAGCTCAGGGTTGAACTGTGGGGTCCCTGATGGCATCCATGAACACCAATGAGCAGTTCAAAACATGATTGAATTTGAATTGAATTTATTGCATTTATATGCCGCCCTTTTCCCCGAAGGGGAAAAACGCTTTAATTGCCTAACACAAGGATAGATTTCACCATAATTTCAGCTGGGGGATGTGAGTGTCCAAAAACACTAGAGAATTCCTGGAAGCTTGGAACGCAGAGAAATCATCCATCAACAGGCACATTGAGTAGACAACATCTAAATACCATTCAAAAGAGACAATCAAAAAGCTAAAAATCCACAATACCCCTTGATGAGCAATCAACATTTAGATAAGTAAAGCTTAATATCAAGCAGTAAACAACAGCCTAATCAAGGAACCACTAAGAACTCTCCCACCAACCCTGATAGGACAAGCCACCTGATTATAAGCAAAGAGCAAGCCCCACTACCTTCTAGCACTGGGTGGCACAGTGGTTACATGTAGTATTGCAGGCTAACACTGTCCATAGCCAGGAGTTCGATCCTAACCGGTTAAAGGTTGACTCAGCTTTCCATCCTTCCAAGGTCAGTAAAATGGGGACACAGACTCTTGTGGGCAACATCCTGGCATTTGTTAACCTGTGAGAGAGTGCTGTAAAGCACTATGGAGCAATATATAATTCTAAATGCTATTACTATTTCTGTGTTGTCTAGTTGGATAATAAAATGTCTTCAAGAAAACAACCAAGCTCAGAGAGCACCAAGGATCTCATAGATGTAATAAAACATGTTAGCTTATCAAACGTAATAGCGAAGGATATGGTGGCTGCTCCATCATATACACACAGGCAATTTAAAATATTTCAGATTTCAATAGATAGTTTTACCATAAGCCGTAACAGAATTTGCAGATTCATAAAGAAAACAAAGCTTCAAAGAAGAGACTGCTATACTTAGTAAATGTAGTTTCTTTTATATATTTCAGATGTATTAGTTGCCTGTCAGCTAAATGGAAATGTTATTGGTGTCCTAGAAGAAGCTCCTGTGTATCCAATGTGACTGAATGTGAGAATTCAGTACAGATTACTGTAAGGCACATAACAGTATATAGTTTGTTTTTTTTAAAAATTCTTGTTTTGTTTCTCTTGTATAGGGAAGAAATAATTGCTGCCAACAAAGACTTTTTAAGAAATATTATGGAAAAGCTTATGTTCAGAAAATGTTGCATATCACCGAGGGGAGTGGGGGGAGAGTGTTGGAGAACTGGATCTGAATGCCTTTCATAGCATGCTTTCAAATCACTGAGATTTCCAGTGCTCTCCATTTTCTTTTATTTATACATTGCCTAGTTCCATTACAATTGCGTGCAGCATAAAATATACAAAATGTAAAATAAAACAATCTACACAAAAAGGAATATCTGGAGAAAAACAACTAATGTTTCAAAAATTGTATAACTCACAAGAGGCCCATCTGCTACTCTAGCCAGGTTTTCAGGACATGTCAGGGTGTGGCACTCTTGAGGAGGGGGAGAGGTGAGACTGTGAAGAACTTGTGAATCCCACAGACTAGTGATCTCTGCCTAAATCTCAGCTGGACCCAAATACAGAAAAAAGAGAAGAATCAAGCACTTAAAATATTTCTTATAGCAGCTATCTAAAGGCCCATCTCTCCAGAACGGGGAAAGAGTATAGCTATCTATGGACCGATAAGAGCAGAGAAATAATTATATTTTGCTAACTTTATCACTACAATGTGATTCCTAGTGTGGGCTTTTATTCATACTTGATTGGGTTTACTCTGTATCTTTTAATGGTGCTCTAACCATCTTTTACAATGTTTCATCTTCCAATCCCTTGGAAAACCAAGATGCATCTTAGAATTGGCTCATAACGATAGGCTATATCAGTGGTGGGATTCAACTGGTTTAACAACCGGTTTGCTGAGTGCGTGCTCTGCACACACTCAGTGTGTTTGAAAACAGCTCTAGACCTTACCTTCTACTGCAGCCCTGTTGAGTAAAACAGCTGAGGCGTGGCAATCTACTCTGCCGCACCTATCAGCTGGGCTTCAAACAAAGGAAATATAGAACAGACTAGTGCAGGGGCAGGTGGGCGGGGCCAACTGATCGCTAGAACTACCGGTTCACCTGAACCTATCTGAACCCTCGCCTGGGCTACATAGGAGCAATCCAGACCAAGACAAGCCCATTCCAGGCAGTGACCAAGGCCTTACTTAAACCACTAATCAGATCCTTAGGGGGAAACCCAGTTATCTCTGTAATGCTATATTAGATTGTAGCAGATCAATCTAGTGTGTCCCAGCTCTCTATGGTGGGAAGAGTTACGGTAATCAAAAGGCAATCAGAATGTGATCTGACCATGGCAAAGGACTCATGATAATATCCTTTCCTCCCACATCATATTGCAGCTGCCTCAAGTAAAAAAAACTAGGTCTAGCTAGGTCCCTCTCCCATCTGTATATGTGAGTCTCTTGATTACTAGGGTCAGGTCCATGCTTGCCATAAGTTGTCATAAGCCTTGGAGATTCTTCTACCTGAGCCAGCTGCACCTGAGCAAAGTTACTGATGAAACCCCTTCCAGAGCAGGGGGCCACTTACTCTTGGGGCTTGTGTCAGTGTACATCTTCACCTTCATTTCTGTTTCTTGATTTGAACATACCCACAACTGCTCCTAACTAGGCTGCCTTAACTATTACCACACAAATACTGTCTTTAAAAGCATGCTTACATCTTATATGCCTAACTCTGTTAGTCTTACTAATTCTATTTCTGTTGGTTACTTTAATTAACAGAATAAAGTTGTCAGAAGAGTTGGATCTAAAATTACCAGCCTGTTTTCTTCTTCCTTTCCTAATGCTTAGAGATGGGGAAGAATTTCTTCTGAAATAGATGTGAAAAGCCAATTGGAGGCTCCTTTCAATAATCTTTTTTACTCTTAAATTGGAACTCTCCAGTATACCATCCTTACAAGTACTTTTATAAGTGTGATCCCTATCACTCTTGTCCATTCCTTTTCCTTTGAGAATTCACAATTTTCATCTTATTCTCTGTCTCAAGTTACATATGTTGTTCCTCAATCAGTACCATTTACTGCAGCTTTGATATTGACCAAATCTAAGGATATACACCTGTGCTATAGGCCTGGCAATATTTACTCCACCCAACTGTTTATTCTTGGTGGTAGTCCTTAGCTCTGTTTCCTAAGTCCCTGAAGAGTCTCTGATTTCTCTCACATGCCTCAATGGTCCAAGCTCCAGACCTGGCTAAAACAGATCCACAATCGCTCTGGAAACTGTGAAACAGAATCAGGTTTTATTCAGGCTGGGGCCTCAGCACAATTTAAGTCCTGCTAAAGTTCAGTGTAAAGTCAGCGCTGGGAGTTACTGTCTCCCAGCATCTTATGTAAGCGGTGTCCACACCCTCCCCACCTGGACATGCCCCTGGCCATCCAACCACCAGCCGGTAGCCAACTGGCCAGCTTTAGCTAGTCCTTTCACAGCAAACGGTCTGCCAAGGCTCCGCTCTCCTTTCCCAGCAACCAGTCCTCTAGTCTTTCACAGAAACCAGTCTTCCAGAGCTCCGCTTTGTGGGCTGCCTCTGCATTGTTACAGCCACTATCAGTCAGCTGATTTTCGGCATCCCAGCACACCGCCAATCAGCTGGGCCAGGTGATGGTGACATTGTCATCATATACTTTCTCCACCTCGTAGGCACTGGAACCTTCACCGCCGAACAGCTGGTCAGTGGCTGGCTCTCCGCCTCTCACCCCGCCACTGATCAGCTGTTCCAGGCAGCCAGGACTGCTGCCGCTGTTCACTGCTGCTGTTTGCTGTGTCGTTGCTGCTTTTCCCAAATTCCCCTCTCCCCAAATATGGCAAACCCCACCAAGGTTTGACACAGGTATTCCTTGTTTTTCACTTTAAGCTTGCTTCCATTGGACTTATCTCTTATGTCTAGTGCTTTGCCTCATTTATTGCAGAACTTGTTTGCAGACTCTAACTCTAGTTGACCAACACTTCGAAGAATCCCAGAACAATGTTTCAGACTTTTTTTTAACCCTATAAGCATATCTCTTTTGGAAAGACTCTTCCTTCTCTGGATCTATAGCTATATGCAAAGCAGCTACTGCTAACAGCTGAAACTCCTCAGACTCACAAAGGCATCATCAAAGCTCCCCTGTCTTCTTATTTGTTCCTGTGGCAGGCTGAAAAAAGTTGTTGGAACACTCCAGCAGTCATCACTAGTTCTATATATCTGATTAAAAATTCCAGAAAGGTTGACTAGATTGGTGATATGAGCTCTTCCTTTCTCTTTTACTCTAATCAGAGAAATACAAAACCATCTGTTTATATCTTCTTTCATTTGCATGCAAATCTGGGTAGGGTCCACTTTACCAGTTGAGAAGCTTTAATAGGAATACCAAGATGACCAAAGGAGTCAGAACAAATCCGATCGCTTAATACATTATTACTGGGGATCCAGTGGCATCAAGTCTGATTTGTTCCAAATTATAAAATAACCAGATATAATGCCAAATTTATATATTATTGAAATGAGATTGGAAATTGGGTTCTGAATTATGAATACTGGGAAACCTGTAATAACTCTTTCTCTGCAGAAACTTCCAATGATTTTTTTTGTCAAGAGATTTATGTTCAATGTGTATAACTTGTTCCTTCCTATTATGATGGAGAAATGGTGACTTTAATGCAGTTCTCCTGTAGTCCTTTAAGCTGCTGTCAGCATGACATTTAAAGCTTCTATTGCTGAAAACTGAATGGCTTGAAACAGTGATTTTAGTATATCGAATAGATTAGTTCTGTATCATCTATACCTTCTTACCAGAGATAAGGTTCTCCTTCAACCAGAAATCTTTTCTCCCAAAGGTTATATTTTTTAAAATAAAAATCCAGATATGGTTAACTGAATTCTACTGTAGATTCAAAATTGGTATTTATTTATGTTTTTGATACAATCTGCAACCTCTGACCATAAATTTGCTTATGCTGAATAAAGTAATTGTTGCTTTTAGAACTCTATTTTTAAAGAAGCTTCTTTGTGGATAAGCTGTTGTTTCCTTGAAAACATTTTTCACTAAGCATATTATGTTTTCTGCTTTAGAATCTCAGATTAACTTTTTATAGAAATTCTATACTTTCCACTAGCTTCTTGACTTTGACTTCATTTAATGATGCTTACACCGTCAATAAAACAAGCTGTTTAACATATATAGTCCTCAGGATATGACAGCAATTGGGACTGAAACTTCTATCATTAAACAATGTGATAGCAAAGTGTGAGGTTATATGGTTGCATCACTTTGCAATAGCAATCCCAGGACTCCCCATTGCTGTCACTTAGACAGGATCATGGGTTATAAAATAAGGATTTTTCCTACTGGCTTCCCACAATGGGAAAGCCAACAGGAAGTTGCAAATCCCATACAGCTTGCAAGCAGGCCAGTGGAGGTAAGATGCACAAGTGACAACCATAGGTGTGGTGGTGGTGGGTTTCAAATCCCGTTCCAACCAGTATGGTTGGAACGGGTTTGCCAGCATCCACGTGGACGCGCGCAGCACACGCATGCATCTTGGTGCTTCCCCGAGCTTCCGCGATGCTCCAGCTGCTCAGCGGAGAATTGTGCATGCACTATATGCGCTGTGTGTGGAAGCGCTGAAGACCTAAAAGGAAGGTAAGAAGTGAAGGCAGGCAGGTGGGCCCTCCGGAGCACCATACCGGAATGGTATCTGGTGCTCCAGGCTGGCTCTGGTACGTGCGTACCGGGGAGTACCGCCTGCAACCCACCACTGAGGTGTGCTGTGGGTGGTGAGGCCAGATTTATCCCAGGAAAAACCGTACATTCCAGAGTGACTTGTGACTTTTCCTGCTGACTTCTTCATCTAATGTCTATCAAGTTAAATATCTATCAAAACTATCGTGTTATATTCTTGATAATTATGTCATGCCATTAATACAGCGTATTTAAGTTGTATAGCAATATGGTTTATATTCCAATTATAGGGAGCATGGTGGCCTAGCAGTTAAGACACTCGGCTTATCAGTCAA